TTTGCTGATGATTTTTACTGCCATATTTTAAAAGGGTTCATTACTTCTTATGTATAAACTCAGCATATTGTATGAATCCTTCAGATTGATAGAATCTCACAGGTCCTTGGTCCATTTTGCTTGACTATGAGTAAATAAATTGACATATTCAAATCTACACATATGCATGGGAACATAGAAAGCTTGTGCAGGCCCCATAATTTGTCCCAGCTCCACATCTTACCTCATCACACACCACACCCCATCACTAATTCTCCACACCCCACCCACCCTCCACCTGCAGTGGCCCTCTCTGCATTTCCTATGATAAAATTTGTTTTGAGGCCAAGTTCAAACTCTTCTCCTGGAGGCCTTTTCTAATATCTCCCACCTTGTATGCAGAAAATGTCCTCCTGCTGTATGATCACATAGCACATTCTCTGTCTCTCTGATGTAGCCCTTTCTGGGTCTGCTTTGTGCAGAATCTGCCCTTGTACAAGTCTGCATCCCCTAATAGGTTATGAATGTTTTGGTGGTAGAAACCATCTTGGCTGAATGCAACACCCGCAGGCAGGAAAACCTCAGAGAAATGTCCACTGAGTTTCAAGAATTTGCCTAAAAAGTCAGAGCCCAGTGTCTGCCTTTTAAGCCTTAAGTTATAACTAAACAGTTATTGTGGCAGTTGGGGGAGCAGCTTCCCAGATAAGACAATCACATGTTTTGTGTGTGTTTTTGAAGTTACGGACTTTTTCTTCTCCTTCTTTCTTCTTTCTATTTCTTCTTCTTTCTATTTCTTCTTCTTCTTCTTCTTCTTCTTCTTCTTCTTCTTCTTATTCTTATTCTTATTCTTATTCTTCCTTCTTCTTCTCCTCTCCTTCCTTCCTTCCTTCCTTCCTTCCTTCCTTCCTTCCTTCCTTTCTTTCTTTCTTTCTTTCTTTCTTTCTTTCTTTCTTTCTTTCTTTCTTCTTTCTTTTCTTTTCTTTTCTTTTCTTTCTTTCTTCCTCCTCTTCTTCTTCCTCTTCTTCTTCTTCCTCCTCCTCCTCCTCCAGGGGTCAATGAGCTTTATTTTTGT